GTTCAGTTGGGCAAAGGGGCGGGCGGAGGCCTCGCCGCGCCAGCCAGTTATAAGCGGCGAGCGGTTCGCGCGCCGCACATTCGCCCTAACACGCGAAGAGCGATAGGTCGTGCCGCACAGGGCACAACGATCGCTTGACGTGAAATAAACACGCGACGCACGCATTTTCTTTGAAAATTCGTGCAATTGCAAAGAAACAAGTGAACCCCGCGGGACTTTGTGACTGAAGTGCCCTGTGAATGTTTGCTTTGACGACCGTGATCGCACTAGTGGAACAAAACGCACATGTTTCATTTAGTAAGGATTGCGTGAAATCAGGATCTGATTTACAGGCAAGTAGATAACATTCCATTGATATTATATCGCTTTCAGCTAAATTGGTAGTTGGCACTCCGACTAACTATCTGGTGACTTGGGCTCACCTACCCAAAGGGATCTATCTAGTAACGTCTTTTTACTACTTAATGTAATAGAATACAAGGTTTTTCTAAGCTGTCATAAAAACTATGTGTTACGACATCCAGTTCAGTTTTTGCTTGTAACTTGTAAGTGGTTAATCGTTTTACTATAATCACGATAAAATAATTGCTGTTTAAATACACTATTAAATGTATGTCTTATAATGTATATACGAGTACAAGGTACCTACCTATCAAGGTATCTAAATGTATTATGAATATGAAGTAATAGTTTCAGTAGTCAAACAGTCGTAGATGTAATCACTATACATAATCAGTTATTGCTAGGTGCGCTGGTCAGTCCCCTTCATGACATGTGTCGAATAACTAATAGTGATCACAGTGTACATATACAATATATTATTGGATGAATTATTAAAGAGTAAATATCAATACAGACGATTCTGACCACCCTTGTGTTGTGCCTTGTGTTAATTGTTGCAAACGAAAAGATAATTTAAAATGTCTGATATAAATTCATTTAAAAATTTAGATTATTTTATCAAAAATATTTTTAAGATTTTTTACGTATAGGAGAAATTGTTAAACTAACATAAACAATTTATCATTAGAAGCGTATAAGAGTTTTAGCTGATATAGCTCTGTTTAAAATAAATAAGAGCAATCTTGTTCTAAAAAAGAATGTTGCGATTTGTATATCATAGATAATTTGCTGGATAAGACTGTTCAACGTTATCTTGGTGATAAGAACTGATCTCTTATATTGTACTGGCAATTGTGGACTATTAAGGACATGTGTTTTAGAACGTCATACTATAAAATTTATTAATATAAATATACATACATTTTTGAAAATTTTCAAATATTAGTAAAATTGTGTAATTTATTGTTAAGGGTGCAATTCGAATCATAGTACATAATACAAGTTTGTATGTGCTATATTAATTTATGTGGTTGCTGACCGACACAACTTCGATTTGGTAAACAAATAATTTAATACCTTTTTACTCCTTAGTCAATATCAGTGAATCATCGTACAAATGTCATTGACGCAAAATACATAGAATAACAGGAAATATGTGTATGGTGGTTTTTTTTCTAAATTAATCTGACGGCATTGAAACAGGTATATGTACGTATTAAATTACTTTGTATTATATGATTATGCCATTTAAATTTTACCAAGGTTCGATTCTATATTTTTACTGTTTAGTTAAATAAATTGAAGATAATCACTAAATTATTATAAATGTTGATTTTATATTAGAAATAAAACAATTCAAATATAGTTATTTTACTATAACAATTCACATCTTACATAGTAGGTACATCTATCTATACTCGTATATATAATAAAAAAAATCTAACTCAGCCGAATCTGTGCATTAAATATTTTTTGGAAAATCTTATTATATATATACATTATTATCGATACAGAGGCCGAATCTATAGTTTTTAGAGTTTTTGTCTGTCTATCTGTCTGTCTGTTACCGCATCACAGAAAAACCACTGGAGGGATTTTGATGAAATTTGGTATGGTGATAGCTGGATAACCGGGTCAATATATATGATACTTTTTACCGCGGGAAAATGTCTCATTTCTGAGAAAAAATACAAAAACTGCGATGTAAGAGTATACTAATATGTAAAACCTAAGAATTTGGTTTTTGGTCGCGGGCGGAGCCGCGGGAAATGCTAGTATATAATATAACCTCCATATAAAGATTAAGTATTAAAGAGTCACCGTTTGCCTTTTAAGATGCTGTCATTGGTAGGTACATAAACTGTACAAGTGGCAATTTTTCTTTAAATTAATTACCCAGTCCTATGATGACATTGCTAGATAAATACTGTTTTGTTTGTATAATAGTCATCTTACTATTAATATGTCATTAGTATTGCCGTAAGCCTCCGGAAGTAGGAAAGTGTCGAGGTTCGCCATATGTGAATCTGCATAAAACGCGTTATCCCGGGAGAGTTCAGATCTGCACGTCTCATTGGTATGCTAGCTGGGTCTCACCACAAATACTAAGTAATGAATTCAAAGTAACGTAAAATAAATTCTCGCAATGCCGGAAATATTATTTTAAATGGCTCTACATGTTTACTTACCATGTATTATAAAATGCTTATAGCCTAATAATATTGAAATTAGAACACACAAACTTACTACAAAGAAATATGTACATCATAATAGAATTAATCTTGATTTTTGAATATTTTTGAAAAAATAACAATAACAGGGTCTCTAAAGACAAAAATAATAATATTTGACATTTTCCTGCATAAGTATTTCGACCAGTCGTCAGAATTTTCTCTAACTATTCAATTTCCAGAACTGTACGCATGACTGGTTCCATTTAAGTTATGACCTCTGAGATTTCATTAAGTAGTTAATCCATCTGTCATTGAGGAACCTAATTTCAATTGATATGGAAAATAATGTTGTATAATAATTTAACAACTCTTTGAATATTTCCTTAGAGCTAACAAATTACGTCAAACAACGAAACAAATTAAAGTCTATTACCAATTCGTCAATTCGTATAAAATTATATATGTGACTAGCATTGCCCGCGGCTCCGCCCGCGTTCAGATGACCAAATACCAAATTCTTAGGTTTTATATATTAGTAAACTCTTAAATTCAGTTTTTGTATTTTTCTCAGAAATGAGATATTTTCCCGCGGTAAAAAGTATCCTATATGTTGACCCGGCTAACCAGCTACCATCATACCAAATTTCATCAAAATCTGTCCTGTAGTTTTCTCGTGATTCGGTAACAGACAGTAAGACAGACAGACAGACAGACAGACAGACAGACAGACAGACTAATATTCTAAAAACTGTAGATTCGGACTCTGTATCGATAATAATGTCTATTTCAATTAGATTTTCCAAAAAATATTTAATGTACAGATCCAACTTAGTTACAATTTTATTATACGTATAGATTATGATTACTACTTGATTTTTTATTTTAGCAGCTTAAAAATAATAAAGAAAAAATCTTACGTAAAGGAAAATAATAAAATAGAAGAATTCAATAAGAAAAAATCATCAATGGATTTCCAGATGTAATTTGTAAAACAACTAAAAAAAATAAAAAAATAAGAGAAAACTTTTAAATCGAGCTATTATTTCATGGCACTTTAATTCAATGCTGCGATTGCTTAAAATGCACTTCTCTCAAATCTACGGTCAAACAAATTAGACATTGATTATTATTAAATTTCGCAAAATAATTATTCACGAGTTTATATTCGGCGCCAAAATTTACATTGCAACAGTAAATGGGCTCGTAGAGAAAAAGTTTCGATAAATATTGTTAGGTAATAGACCCAATGCCGGTGAAACTGTCATCGCTACGCTCCGGTGAGCAGAAAATCGCTATCGACACTTTATACTCTGCTTTACAATTTTGATTTTCTCAGACAATGTGCTTATGTGAGGCTTAAACCATAAATAACAATAAATAGCTAATTCATGAAATTTCTATATATGGTAGAGAAATATAATAGGATTTTTCTAATTATTCTTTTGTAGCCAATCTGACCACATATATGTATGCAGAAGTTTATGTATTGTTCTATAAGAATTGACAGATAGAGATAAGATGTGAAAGCGATATATAAAAATATAGATAAAAATACTTTTTCTCGATATTTTATCACGATGTAATGATATGATTGTTATATGAACATAAAATTTCATTGAAATAAGTTCCCCTTACTACGAGTATATTAAAATATTTAAGTTCCACTTTATAAATCGGAACAGATCAATATTAACATCAATAAATCGTATTTATATAGCGATAGTATAAACAAATGGGTTATTCTATGAGTGACGATTAGGTTGGAACAATTTATCTTTCGTATTGATAACAGTGTTTGTTGACAAGCCCGTACCCGTGCCGTATCTGGGTCAACTGGCTTAGGACACTCTATATGTGGTATCTATGAAAAATTCTCTAAGATTTGGTGGTCTTTATTTTGTGTTTTATGAAAAAAATAGTAACTTACTCGTGTTAGGCGTGATAAAATTTATGTGATATAGCGACTCACCCTTGCAGAATCCTATGTGACGACCCGGATAACCAGCTATCATCACACCAAACTTTAAAATCTGTCCAGTGATTTTCTCGTGATGCGTTCCCAGACAAACAGATAGGCAAAAATTCTAAAAACTATAGATTCAGCTTCTGTATCGATTCGAAATCGAATGATGACAATTTCAATAAGATTTTCCAAAAAAAAAATTAATGTGCAGATTTGACTCAGAATTTTATTAATTGTATAGATGAGTCACCGCGGATATGATGTGTCAACTGAGATGATGACCCCAGGGACTATCATCTCAAAGCTAATCTTTACTATCTTATAAGTCATTTATCAACTAGTACTTACCAATAACGTATTTTGTTACAGATCTATCACTGTTCTTCATAATAAAGAACAAATCAATGTTTTTATAGAAATATTTGTAACCGTATCGGTTAAGAGATATTTTTAAGTTATACAAGAATGACATATCGTCTATTATAAGAGAAGATTATTTTTATATAAATTTTAAAGAACAAATGAGCTTAGATATTTTAAAAAACATATCATCTAGAAGTATGGCGTTCGTGGGTTTAAGAAGTAGCCTAAGAATACTATGGGCGGCGGCGACGGCGATGGTGTTTTTGACTCGAAGCAGCGCAGCACCGGCCTTCGGAGAAACTAACAAGGCCATGGTAAGTAATACATTTTAATATCGTATCAGCCATTTCAAACCTGCTTTTCAAGTTTTATTGATCAATTCATGCACGCTAAAACGTATTAATAAATAATTTGCTACTTTAATAATTGTACTTCAAAATCTATCATACTCATGTATTAATTAACAAAATGTATAAAGATGGTACACAAAATGAAAAGTAAACAGCAACAATGAGTAATGTTTATGGGTTCCGTTAAGTGAATACCCATACAACATCATCTGTTAATCGATTAGAATGGAATCGGAAATGATCTCGCCCCATAATGTCGACCCAGTACATTTCTGACTCATTCTTCTCAGAATCTTGCTCACCCGTCCATTCTAATTGTATAAAATTGAATCTGAGCGATATTGTAGTAGCCCCACTAGGTAGTAACATTCATTCATAATAATAATATAAACCGAACGAGATAGAAATCTCAAATATTACTACACACCGGCAAAAACCTGTAGCCTTTTAAAATCGACTTCGTAATACATGACTCACGGGTAAACATAACATGTATGTTTATACCGCTTTTATTGGTCATTATACTTTTTTTAAATCACTGCGTCATTAGTGACTTATGGTTAAGTAGTTTATGATAAACATGCGTGGAAAACCAATAAAGTTTGTAGTATAACTAGTACGTAATTTATACCTTAACGACGTATATGATAATATGTAATATGTATATATTTTAATGTCTAAATAATCTTATTACGGAATATTTTACTAACAATAAATATGGTCACATATAATTTTTTATAAAGGTCCTTTAAAATAATATAATATATTTTAATAAAAGGAAAGGATAAGATGAAGTGGTTCCGTCGTCACCGTGAGTCAGGTAGGAATGTAGGGTTCAAGAGGAAACGGCAATAAACTCCGTTTCTAAGAAATCAAATGATGAGTCATAGAAAGAAACAAGCCTCAAAATTAGGGCTGGCAATTCTTTGAAAATAAAATGTGAATAAGAATAATAATTAGATTTATACAACTAAAATATGCGCTATTTTTAGTTTTTATAAATTTAGATCGAATTATTCATTAAATATTTTTCTTTTATCTGTTACTTATTGACGTTATGTTGTGATCGAATAAAGCAACATTCCTTTTATCGCTAAATACTAGTGTTTGTCGATAAGTGTGCTGTGTGAGACCTTAGAATGGAAATTGATTGTAACGCGACTTATGTCATCAAGTCTAGGTCAAAGTGCTAAATGTTTTGCTATCAGTTACCTAAATAAAAATCCATGACAAAACGATTAGCTTACCACGAATTTTCACTTAGAAATCAATTATTATTTTGCCTAATCTTACTGTTTCATATAATTATATTATTATTAGGTAATACTTTCTTAGATTTACGCGCATATTTGACATTTTAAATAATACTATCTGTTCGGATTATTTTACAGATTAATTTTTTATTTAAGCAATATTTTGTTTTATATGTAATTTAAAAATTAATCATTTTTGTAAAATTGTGGGCAGGCACTACCTGTAACAAGTATAATATAACGCCTTTGAGATGTCTAAAACCTTACTGAGTCCCGTGAGTCGTGACCATGATTGCTGTAAAGCATTCGAAACATCGAGAACCAAAAATCAAAATAAATCCTCGAAATAATCCTAAAATATTTATTTAAAATATTATTAGGTACTTAATTCATAATTTCAAGATGAAAGTTTACAAATTAAAAGAATTTTAATGTTGTAGAAAAGAAACAGTTTATTTTAGCCATTAAGAAATATTGCTACCTAAATCTGATAAGTCATCTAACATGTCAAGGTAAATCCGCGCTCTAATAACCCGTTTTAAGAAAATCAATTTTAAAGCCTTTTGACATATTAATATTTATTAAAAACATTTTATTACAATTTCTATAATTTGCGATAATGATATTAAAATAAAAATGTCTGTAATTAATTGTAATATTATTTTTGTGGTATATAACATTTATATATTATTATAAGATTTTTTATAAATATGCATATTATTATGATGTAGTGAATAAAATTACTTTAATAAGGATACATTTTACAATTTTAATTTTATTTGTAACAAATTACACAGAAATTGACATTTTTTTTCTATTTGTAAATAACTTTACAAGACAAGTATAGTAAAAAAAATAAGTCCATTAATATGAAAACCACGAATATTTGAACTATTAAACAATAAGTAAAGTATTGAAATGCTATCGTTGTTACTAGGATACGGTTGGTAGAAGAACTTTGCGGCATTTCATTTAAACAAGGCACGAAATTATGCTGGCTACCAACATTGTATTGTACTATAGGGATTTAGGCTTCAAAATAATAGGTCATTGCACTTTGTAGTCACGTGAGTTACTGTGGAGGCTTTGCCGCAAGAGTAGCATTTCCTGTCATTTTCAATAGGTACTGTTATGAATTACGTATCCTTATACAGGAGGTCATTCTCCCACTATACACTAACAGGTGTACTCAGGAACAATGGTTCCAGCAGAACGCGAAGACTTAACTATATTCTTTGTTTTCATCGTGCTGTTATATTAATACCACATAAAAATTCGATGCGTGTCCCATACAGCGGACATCTCTCGTAAAATTTCCTGCGCCGTAGCTTAGAACAATGAACCCTTGGAATATATAGGCGCAGCGTATAAATGTCTCGCGCTAGCAATTTTTTATGGATGGAATGCGTAAACGTTTAAGTTTCCTTAATATAATAGATTTATCTTTTGAACTGTCCATTGTCCTGTGCAGTTCTCAGTCTGACGAGGGGCTTTAGGAGTGAGTACGCGTTACGCATACCTAACTGTAATCTAGTCGTCGGTCACCTTTATGTTATATGTTTATGGGGACATGAGTCTCCATATCGCGCAATCACACCACGCTAGTCCGGTGATAAACTGACGAAAAAACAGTGTTACGAGTCCACCAACGGCCAAAAAAGTCTTTAACTCTAGTCACGACTTTTGCTCCTGAGAAACGAATGTGTTTAAAGATTTTAAAGAAGATGATGTAATACAATGTATTTTAAATATATTACACACTACTTTTTCCATCGTTTCCGCTCACGTGGTTATGAGTCAAGTTAATCAAAGATATAGCTATCTCCATTCCGAATTTATAGCATTCCTATGTCCATTAAAGTTTGTAGTGTGATTAGCAATTATTGGAATCGCGAACGATACGATATTGTCGATAAAAATAAAAACTTTTTAACAAAAAAATAAAACCCGACTTCAAAAAAAAGCACTAAAATGTAAAAAATAACTGATTGGTAGTTTTCATTTACTATACATACCTAATCAAATATGTTCGAAGTCAGTGTGCTTTGGCTAAGTAATTAAAACCTACCTATTAAATACATACCTAATCAGATATTTTCGAAATCGGTGCCAGCCCATACAATGCAAATGTTTTTATTTTTTTGTTAAAAAGTTTTTATTTTTCCCTTTTTAGTGTCGACAGTAGTAGCAAAGTAAGAATTCTAAAGTGTTAGGCTTGTCAAACCAAACAAAATAAGCCCAAATTCAAAGTATCTACTATTAGTCATTGAAGAGTTCCACCTATTCACCTTCTGGCCTTACCATCAGATCAGGTCAACAATACCGAACCACTGTACTATCAACGGAAATAGAAACACTTGCAAAGTTTCTAGTCAATATGACAATTAGAAGTAGGTTAAATTCATTATTAGCTATTTTTCCACCCTTAGGTGTGATATTTTTTTTTGAATTTAAATGGGACCAATCTGGAAGTATACCCTTTCAATCAAAACAAAAATTGTCCAAATCGGTTAATAAATGACGAAGTTCTGAGGTATTTTTTTTTATTTAAATGGGACCAATCTGAAAGTATACACTTTCAAACAACACAAAAATTGTCCAAATCAGTTAATAAATGACGGAGTTCTGAGGTAACAAACATAAAAAAATATACAGTCGTATTGAGAACCTCCTCCTTTTTGAAGTCGGTTGAAAATTAAGAGAAACAACCAGTGAGTTTACTTTTATACATAATTAAAATCGGCCTCGTTTAAAGTTTATAGTATCTAAATTTAAAAATTGGGAACTTTCGAAATAGAGTCGCTATTAACCAGTTCAACGGACAATAGCTTTTAACTGAGCACATGAAGCGACCGGGTCACCTCGATCATCGATGGTATTATTGTATAAATGGATTTCAGCGATATTTTTGCATGTTGTAAACGGAACTATTTCTTTGAGCGAGACGGGTCGTAGACGAAATGATTCAGACTGATTTTTTGCGGTTAGGTGAGTAAAGATGGATTATTATTAGTGACATATTAATATGAGGTTTGTTGGTTTGCGGTGCTAGTGTGCATGCTCGTCACGCACGCAGGAAGCACCCGGCGACCTTCAACACGCGCGCCACGGCCACCGTCCTCTGATGATCACTTCTCATTGTTCGCGTCAACGTTCAATCATTACTCCAACTATTGTCAACTACCGTAATTTCATGATAAAGCGTTACGGGTGTAGACGTTTTTGAGCGATCGATGACAAAAGTCAATTTTATAGAAGATTAATTAAATCGTATTATTTAATCGATTAATAATCGGACCAATTATGAAAGTCAACAATACGCTAATACACGTGACAAAACGTGAGTCTGCGGACAAAGGGCGACTACGGCGCGAAAAAAAACCACACTACGGAAAATGTAGTCATTACACGCAAAGAAGTATATATTTATGTTTTGTCATTCGGCGCGTAATTGTTAGCAATTAAGTGGTCAATTATCTATCGCATGAGTGTCATAAACGGTCTCATCTTAAAGATCTATTTTTATAATTTTTATAGATATTCAAAGTTACTAAAAGAAACAAATTATATTTATAAATCATTTTAATTTTATCATGATAAGCAATAATATCCAATATTGTTCATGTCCAATGAAACCAATAGTCAAAAAAGTTCTATATTATTCGTTTCATAAAAAATATAAATAGATAACTCAAAAAACACATCATATCA